AGAACAGGGTATGTTACAGTGCAGCTCTATTCTTGTTCCAAATGGAATTTGCTGAATGGCTAACTAGGTTCTCTTCTCTTTGTCACCTACATGGTCCCGTAAATCGCAAGTTGAATTTGCCCCTCTCTCACCCCTGTGTTAATGCAAGTGGTGGGTTATAAATGGGTGGTATTTATCTTTTTTTTCATAAGATCTTGGCTTCTACTATGCGGCTGTCCGACAGGGTTAATGTTCCAAACACGTCTGGAAAAAGTTCTGAGCAGAAATAGGACTTTTATTTTCATATATTGTCAAAGTCAAAAACAGAACACAGCTTCACATCAGGTACTGTCATTCCCAGGATGCTAGAAAACTATAGGAAAAAAAGAAAAACAAAAAAGCCACAATCATGATTCAAGGGATGGTGTGGATGCTTTAGAGCTTATTGTTAGCAGACAATCTGTTTAGCCTTTGAAAAAGGAGTTTAAGAGGTGACTACATTATATGGTGTAATAGCTTCACTAGATAGACAAATTCAAATGAAAAAATAAGGCAATCAGTTCTTCTGAGTCCTTGGAACAAATTCATAAGGACTAACTAGATGCATTCTTGTCAGACATGCTTTAATCAAGCACAAGTTTTGTTGTATTTAGAGACTAATTATGGGGCTAAATGCAAAGGAAGTTGAGAGAAACTTAGTTGCCTGGCATACACAAGATGTTCTATGGTACCATTTTAGCTTTAGACTTTATGGATCCTCTTTATGCAACAGAATTTTAATTTTCATTTTAAAAACTACATCTTTCTAGGTTTCATGATTAGGAAGATAAAACATGAGCATGAGTCACAGCATTGTTTTCTGAAGGGGATTGGAGATAAATCCCACAGTGACTTGTGATAAACTGGTCCTGGATTCTCTAACGAACTGTTGTTCTGAAAGGTGAAAAATGCTCATTTTTTCCATGCATTTGGATGCAATCTGAGGATGGCAAGTGTATACAGTATTAACAACTTCACTGTCAATCAGGGGAAATATCTAGAAAATAAATGCTTGTAATCAAAGATTAATTTCCAAGCTGTAGAAGTTAATACCGTGTGGAAATGAGTCCTAACTGCAAAGTGAGGTTCCTGTTTAATTCAGATAAAGCTGCTGCAAATTTTCCAGCCTGCTATAAAATTCAGACAACTTGCTACAGAGTTTGGGTATGACTTATAAGTTAAACTGGAATTTGTTTAAGAATATCATAACATATTATTAGAAGAGAAATATCCTTGTGCGGATATATTCAAATTCATGTTCATGTAGATGGCCAAGAAAATGGCACTGCGTGTAGGATTTAAATGATATTAGGCAGACAACTTGTATACTATAGACAATCTTGGGTAGAGGAAAGAAACCGGAGAAAAATGTAGTGGGAAGGTAGAAAAAAGTAATTCGCTGCTTATTTGTTTTTCACAATTGTTTACATATTGTGTTTCTAAAGATTTCATAAATTTCCTATTTCTTCAATTCACTACAAGTATGATCTAGAACAGCTGTGTTCTCTGAAAAATGACTTTTTCTCTAGGCGGTGGAACTGTTACTGTGCTAGAGATTCTAATGTGATGGATTATAAAGAATTTTTGAAGAATTTTGGCATAAGTACAGACACAGCTAAAGAAAAAAAGCACAGAAAATGAAGTTCCAGGTATGTGCTCAGAAAAGGAGTGGAAACTTGGGTACTTTTCCTCTTTCCAGTTATATCAATAGAAGTATTTCTGTTGGCCTTGATGGATCTGGTTTGCAATTTTGTAGGACATTGGTAGCCTCTGATTCTCAACAGACACAACCAGGACAGGGAGGAAAAGAAAGCCAGGTTCCTTTGGCCTGGGAAATTCTACCAACTGTGCGTGAAAACTGCCTTTAAAATCAAAGGATGACATTACATGGGCCAAGAAATAAAATCACCATTACAAGCTCATAAACTCCAGATAAAGAATTTGTTACTACAGCTTGGAATCTTGTAGCACTTGGGAACCTCGGTTTTCATCCAGTATTCAATCATACTGAATTTTGCAGGTAATCTTTGTAACAAAGAACTTACACGCTAAGACAGTGACAAAATGGTGAACTTGGACAGCTTGGGGAGGTCAAAGTGACAGTAAGACATTTTTTGTCAGCCTGACAGGAGTAGTTTCAAGCATAGCAGCAACTTAACTTATTGGAGTCTTTGTAGGCATCAACTCAAAGAAGGATGTTTAAGAAGGATTGACGGTCAGTAATTAAGTCAGTTTGTGAATGTGTATAGGCAGGTCCTCTCAAATATAAAGGTCACCATAAGAGTAGATAAAAACATGTATTTGTTTGAAATTGCAAGAACCAGACAGTCCAAGGCGGCACAAGGGGTCGTTCCTGAGTGAAAGGTGATTGCATGGAGGACGGGGGCTGTGGAGACCCTTAAAATGAAGGCATTAGCTTATGTTTGTTGTCTAGGGAAGGAAGAGTCATTGATAAGAGCAGGATATGGTTGTTTTCCTCAAAGACAGAAAAAGTGTGTTTCAGTAATTCAGTTGCTGGATGAATGGAGGCAGTGAAGAGATTTAGCCCTGTACGTGGATAAAAAGGGTTGTGCTTGAGAGGTTATGCAGCAAAAATCTGCCAGATTTACCTGTAATATGAACGTGAGGATCTATGGAGATATGAGTTTAAGAAGATAGTGAGAAAGGCCCTTCCAGGACACTTCAAAATAATGTAAATCTGTTTTCATATCTTGAAATTTAATTTAGTGTATTTAACAAGGTATTTTGTTCATCACATATGTACACATATGATATTTTGGCAATAGGAGTTTTCATGAGAGTGAGTTTAGCTGCTAATTATTTTTTCATTTATTTTTATTTAAAAAGAAGCATTTAAACTTACCTTTGCTGAAGAAAGCCAGTACAGACTTACCTGTACTTTGCAGGCTAAAGAGCATTAGCTTCAAACATTGTCTCTTTCATTTCTACTACTCAAAATTTAGCACTTCATGAAGACAATTCTAGAATTTAAAAAAAGAATAAATAAAAAAATCTATCCTGGTCTAGAAAAGAGAAGCTAGCAGTCCAGAAGCCTGAATTATGATTATCCTCTTCCTGACAGAAAGTCTTCCCTTGGGTGGTAGGAATTATTTTTGAACCAATTTTGAATATATGGCCTGACGTTCAAAAGCCCTGAATACCAACAGTTCACATTGGCTTTAGTAGGATCAGAAGAAGCTGAACTCTTTTGAAATCAAGAAGTCAGAACATCTAGTATTTTAATAATACTTTTCTTCTCACCATTTTACACAGCCGTGGTGTGTCTATATAGAGGTTTGTAAGTTTGTGCAGTACTATCAAAGATTGTTTTGAAACCATTACTAGAAGTAAATATAACTACCAAAAATAGAGGGTTTTTTTCCTGTGTGGGGTACTGAAATTGTGGAGAAATAATCTTACGAATTAAGGCTCCTCCTCCTTCCTAGTACATGCTGTACCTAGCATTGTGCATGATTAACCCTCGTAATTAACCCGTCTAGTTAATGGGGCCTGGGACACAACCTCCCCACTCATTCTACCATAGAATGCCTCAGTCATCTGGAGACCTTGCTTGTGGTTCCTGCAGCCCTGCTGTACTGACAGTGTCTTGCATTCACCTCCTGCCCTCCGATTCTCAGTTCCATCTCTTTCACCCACCCACTTTGAGAAGTGGAGCCTTGTCCATGTAAAGTAGATATAAAAAAATTACTGATCAACGTTGGTCTAAAAATAGATTTTAAAATCATCCAGCTAGATTAGTGGGAACCTCTGGTGCATTTCTGAGGTGCAAAACTGAGTGCTATCTGTTTATTAGTAGCCAATCAACCAAATTGAAATAGGGCAGTTCTAAATGGAATTGAGCATTCACACAAATAATTTTAAAAAGTTGAAGTAATAAAAAGTATAGCTTTATGTAAACAGGAAGGCAAACCCGTGTTCAGCAGGCCACTGAGCAGGCAGAGGGAACAGGGGAGAGCAAGCCCTAAGCAAATGAGTATCCTTTTCCATATGGAGCAGCATTTTGTTTCCTATGTAGCCCCACTGGAATAACTTTTGAAAGAGTTTGGTGCACATACTCTTTGTGCATAAGGTTCTCAAAATGCCTGTGTCTTGTCCGTCACAGGGGTTGCTGCTATGCTCTGAATCAAGTATAACACATCCATAGCAGAATCGTTATCCCAAAGCGTGTACATGCCAACAGCGCGTTAAGTAGAGCAGTATACAACAAACCACCATCACAAAATGAGCTGCTCAGCCCAGCTCTAATAAATATTCCACAGAATTGGTTTGGGTTTGGCGTCTGTTTTTTTTGATGGGGAATCATTGAGGAGGGCTGTTTGACTTACAGTAACTGGAAGCTCTTCCAAGGACTGTGGGAGCTAAGATGGGCCAGTGGACAGGGCTATGTGAAGGAAATGGAAAAGAGAAGAGCCTTTTTGAGGTCAATAGGCATGCTTATTATCAAAGGCCTATAAGGACACTGTCTTCCATTTCCTGAAAAAATATTTTTGGTAGTGGATCATTCTGAAAACATACTGACAAAGAGAGGGAGCTAGTTTCTAGTAGTACCTTCTAATATTAAATGTAATAAAGATACCTGTTAAGTTTGTAAGTTGTGTGAATTATGTTTTAAAAGAGATATGAAATGAAAAACTACTACAACAAATGCACAGATTAGTTAGCATAATTTTAAACTACTGATCAAGTTTGAAATACAGGAAAATACAAGAAAGTATGTATTTTCGGTTTGGTTTAGTCTTTTTGTACCTAAAGATTTATCCAAACAGCCTTTAAGAGTTTTTGATGGCTTTATTTCTTTGAAGCTGACAAAGCTGTGGACTTCGCTAAATCAGGTTTCTTAACAGCACTAATCTTCCAGAAAATAGAAGGAACAGAACCAGAAAAAACTTCTTCCAGAGTCTTCACCAGCAAAACTTTTCCTACAGCCTTCACCAGCTGGGTGCGTTGTGACAGAGTGCAGCATGGAGAGCACTAGGAGGGCATTTAGAGAAAAGGTACGGGAGTGCCATTAATACTTCGGAATACTTCGACAGGTGGAGAATCTGAGCCAGGCATCACAAGAAAAGAAAATTGCCAAGCTTTGAGGCCAGTTAATTATACCAACTTCTTTTATGAACAAATTCCATGCACAGGGTTTCTTGTTTGCTTTTAAAGCCAGATAGCAGAAGCAGCAGTTCAGTTTTATTTTGTGTATTCCAGTCTTGCTTATTAGATTCACAGCCTTAAAAACATACGTATTACAACTACAAATTCCTTAGGCTAAACCAAAATGAGAGTGCATCGAAGCTTCATGGCTAAGGTGTTTCCTAATGAGAATTGCTAGATCGCTCTGTCAGATCAAAGTAAGTAATGACTTACACTGAGTAATGACTAGTTATCGTTGTCTGACAATTATTTTCTGACCTGCATGAAATAAATTATTAGTGGATAGGTGCTGCTGCAGAAACACATTTTTTTTGATATGTGGTGGCAAGCTTAGAATAGAGAGTGGAGCTGGAATAGACATGGCAAATGACCTCTCCTTGTGCCCTTAGATGTGATCTTAACTGAAGAGGACTGGCGAGTGTGATGGTGCAATGTAACTGTATTCCACCTGCTTTATGGGAAGGTGAAAAGAAAATTTTCCAGCACTCGCTCTTGTGCCTTCATGTAATGAAAATCCTGACTCTCTAAGAAAAGAGAAACTGATACTGTGCACCAAGTCTGCATATTCTACCACAAACTCAATTACACAGACCTGTAACTGTGCTTTCTCAGCCTTCAAAAGACAGGGGAGGAGGGACAAACAAGGCTACAGGGACATTCAACATCTTGACCCTTTTTCATGTTGTATATCTTTGATACAGAGTTCAAGGCCTGGATTGGAAGCACAGTACATCTCACCTTACAATCCTTCCCAGTCCTTGACGTTTATTTTGGGCTTTCTAAAGTCTCTCTATACATTATCTTTACACTGTGTTTTCGGCAGTTTTGAATGAACAATAATCAGCTTAGAAGCAGATGGGGTACTTGTCAAAAAATGGTGAGGGGAGAAAAGCCTCGGGGATGCTGGCAGTATTCAACAACCCAGTGTGAGCTAACATTTCAGAAAAACAAACCAGTCTTCCTATTGTTTCATGAGCCTTATCAAAATCTGCAGTAAGTCAACTTTCAGGCATTTTACAAGTCCCATAAGCAAAAACACATCCACATAGCTCCTTTGCAACAGCCCATGAATTAAAAAAAAAAAAGCAAAGAAATGAGTGATGTGTTTATACAACAGCTATGTTAACTATTGCATGTCTTCTAACATCTTCCAGTATTTATTGTGCTAACGACCCATTTTAATAAAGGAAACCTTGATACTAGGTTATGCAGTGGATGGTTTTAAAGTTACGTTAAGACAGGTGTTATCAAGCAGGCTGATCCACCAAGTATTTTTAGCTCTGAATTTTGAGGCAGAGTTATTATTTGAGAAACTTGTCTGACTTGTCATTTGAGAGTGTGTGATTGGGAATACTGTTTTGTAGTGAGCTTATTAATTAAACATCTGACGGTCAGAGCATGCCGGGGTAACCTATTTGATCAGTTCACAGAGAAGAACATTTGAAAAGGTCTTGTAAAAAATGCATTATTGTTTTAAAAGCTTCATGAACTTGACTTTTCTGAACAAAACACTATAAATTGTATTCATTACAGCTGTGTTCAGCCTATCAGGACATTGAAAAAGCCTTCAGAGCAATTGATGTCAGTCGGAGTGGATTTGTGTCTTTGGATTACTTTAAGTCAGTCATAAACGGCTTTATATTTCCTTTGCCAAATGAAACTTTTCAAGAGCTAATGAATAGGTAAGAATCATGTTATTTTCTTAGGGGATGTTTTTTAGCACTGCTGCCTTATAACTTTATTATTGCTTTTTGTGACTACCATCATTAATTCATCTTACTTGTGCCTGTGTTGCAGTATGTATGGCACAGTATGTAAAAGCTGATGTAGGTGGGTATAAAACCAAGCTTTTTGCAGTAAGGTACATAAGTTTAATGGAGTAGAAGCTCTAAGTTACTGCTTTCTTACTTCTATTTGCTCACAAATTTGTATTTAATTTCTTAAAGGGAGCGTTGCTATCTTGCATTCAAATGACTAGTGATATAGGATGGTGTGAATTTGCTGGAAGAGCAGCTTCACAACTGTCGGCACCATATTTTCATGGTGATAGTGTGACTCTGCAAGCCTGTCCTTTTATATCTGCTGGTTTGGCAAGGAAAAGAAAGGAAGAAGCAAAACTAAAGTCAATGAATGAACTAATGGTGAAAGCTTTCACTCTGTACTGCTCATTGTCAGTCACTGAAAAAGGTAACTGAAGGGACATTTCTGTGCTGCATAGTAAAGCAATTTCATACCTGGAAATCTGAATTTAAACTAAAATGAGGCAAAAATCTTTTGAACCTAGGTTTTGACATTGTAAATATTTTTATTAAAACTGCTGTGAACGTTGAGAAATCATGCCAACTACTGGATTCAAGTCAATGTACTATTTTACTTTAACCAGGCATCTTTGTAGTATTATGACTAAAACTCAAATCATCTTGTGGGCAGTATAGTGTGCAGAAGATAAATGGATAGAAAACATTTTCCAGCCCAGCTTCAATGATCTCAGCAGAGTTTAGGCCACAGGACATTTTCCAAAATATGATTTCCTGGACATGATCACTTTAGCTTATGCTAACTAACTTCCTAAACTCATATTTCCTTTTTAAAGCCAAAATATCACAAGAATGGATGTTTTTGTGGCTTTTGGTTAAATCTAGACCAGAATCTCTCATGATTAATCTTTTGTACTCAGAAACCAAAAACTGTGAGAAGAAAACTGCCAGAATATACTTTATACTTGTTGGCAACAGTGCCAAGGGCATATGGCCAGTCAAAGAGAAAGGAAGAACAACTTAACTCTTACACACCATTTTTACTCCAAATATTACTGAAGCTTTCAACAACAGGACAAGGCATCCAAATCATACTGTGTGAGGAGGTCAGTAACCAGATCATGCATTACTGCTTAATGATTCTGCAATTTATAGTTTATCTGTTTAAATTGTTGGAAGAATATAATCATCCATGTAAATAATCGGTTATTTTTTTCTTTACATGCACTAGTTAGCTGTAAAGACCTCAGTGCAGATACACATTTTACAGCAGCAGGTGCTGTATGAGAGTCATCTGCAGTAACCATATTGCTTTGTGCATTCAGCAGATAAATCTGATTTGCTTCTAGTCATTCACAGTGTGATATAACAATGATCAACTATTACTTTGTAAAAAAATTGCTATTATAGTTTTTTTTCAATTCATGTCACTTGCTAGTTTAAATCTTAAAGTAAATCTTGCTCTTAAAAGCAGTTGCATAATGGAAAGATTTCTGCATGTATTCTTCCACTGGAGCTTTCTCTAGCATTTGAAAAATATAGTGACATTTTAATGATGCTGTAAACAGAAATGTTCAAGCCTATGTATGCCATATCTCTTAGGTGATATTTCTCAGATAATGTAATTCAAAAGATCCACCAGGTGAATGGAACAAGAGCAAAAGTTCCTCATAGTCATCTAATTCTAATAACGAAGTAACTTCATTGTAGCTGATAATAAATGTAATAGTAATTGATGGGCAAGGGACATGATTTCAAGGTTTTTAAGATTCTATTTAAATAATATGACATGAGATGTGCCAGGGAGCTGTTTATAAGAAATAATACATGACAGCATTTTATGGTTGTTTGAGATATTTACATCTCATGGGCTCCTGATATAAAATTCGGGGCCCATTGAAGTTGATGCAGTTTTGCCTTAGACTTCAGCTAGGATTTAATCCTTGACTGGTTTAGGACCAGATTACCCACACACACATCTCTCAGTATATGTCCCCACTGCAGCAAGTTCAGATACATCAGAGGGAGACCATTGAGGTGTAATTCATTCAAAGGACATCACTCATCTGAGTCCCGAATTCCCTGAATTCCATCACTTCTACTCTTGAAAATTCTTTCACTTGGAAGTAAAACATCGTGAACTTGAGAAAGTTGCATAAACTGAAGGAATTAATTTCACAGTATTTCAGCATTCCCATGTAAGAAAATATTTTGGTTGTGTTTTGGAGCTTTGCTGTGGATTGTGTCCCTTCACAGGTTGAGGGGTGTGAGTGAAGGGTGTTCTTGACAGTTGGGAGCAAATCATACATGACCAGTATGAAGGCTTTGCCAACGGAGGGCCTAACTTCCAAGACTCTTTTCTGGTGGCTGCCAGGATTTCTAATTATGACTTTTATTTGTGATATGAGGTAAATCATTGTGCTCATTTGCCCAGGACTTCAGTGAACATATTAGTTAAAAACACAAGGACAGTTTTCAGCAGCAGAGGTAGTTATAAACTTTTTGTGTTACCCTCATGCTTCCTTCCTTTAACTTATGATTTGCATAAAAGTATCAGATGCTAAGGCACTGATGGTTAAAAATTTCTCACTGGGTAGTATTTTGTAAAGGATCTCTATGAGATGATGTATCACATGACGTTAGCAGGTATCCATGCTGTTACAGCTCTAACCGGTCATTTCTTCTGGAAGTACACTCTGTTGTACTTGGACGTAACCATAAGCATACTTCCAAAAAGCCATGCAGAATTTATTTTTATTACTTTAATAAGTTAGCTGGCCTACTATAGTGGTTTTTAAATAAAACCAAAAAAGCCAAAGTCCTTCCTCAGTTTTTAGTCTCACTGACTTAGCTTTGTCTAAATAAGGCTTTCTTTAATTTGATCCACGAAACTTAATGCTGGGGAGTTCCTCCTCCCCTGCTGCAAGGGCCTGATTCATCCCTTTCCATGATAAAACCTGCAAGAGAAAAGTCCTGTTGGCCAGCCACAGGCAGAACTGGAAGAATTCCACCATCCATTATCCATCTGCAGAAAGGGGGAAAACCACTGCACCTTGTGGACTGATCAATGGCACCACAAATCAGAGCTAGTAATGCCAGACACATCCGCATTGCTATTTCTTCCTAAGTTCCCTGCAGCTCCCAGGATTTTGGCAATTGTCACTGCCAGAGTCTGAGAGGCAATTGTAGGGCTTCTGAGCAAGGAGGTGGAAGTGGAGAGGTCTGTTGCGCTGATTGACGCAGCTTTGGCTGGTTGCTCACTTTCAGTGCAGAATTGCTCTCTACAGGGTGATTTGAGTGATTTAGTAGTCCATAGACATTTGAGTGTGAAGGGATCTCAGCTGGGGGCTCAAAATAACAGTTGTTATCTTGGCCTTAATTTTAAAGATCATCTGTTATTTCATACTGTTTGTTTCATATTCATTTATCCAAGACAATAATCAGATATGAAATATCTCTCCTTCCCACAGCTTTTTTTTTAATAACCCATCTCTCAACAGCATTGTTGGCAAAGCCCCTCCCTGCAGGGAACGAAAAGGCTCCCATGGTGAAATCCAAACAGCAGCACTGCCTCTGTCTTCACTTACCCTGAGTCTTCATGCTTGGTCCTTCCCAGCCCCTCTTCTGGGCTCTGGTGCAATTGTCCTGCCTGTGCAGTGGGAGATGCTCAGCCCTTGAGCCACTGAGCCGGGGCACGTGCATGCTACTCGCGGACAGGACTGTAAAAAGTCGGGTTCCCTCCCCTCCCATTAAATACCCCGTGCTGTCAGGTTGCAGTCAGCCAAAGCCCAAATGCTGTGATTCTTGTAGCTTTTGGTTTTAGCTTTGTTGGCTGAGCTTGAGAAACTGCCGGGTAGTCCAAAACCTGGAGTTTTTTTGTAAAAGATCCAGGAAGTCTTGCATACCTCTGACTGCATTTGGTAATTTTTTAGGTTTGTCCTATGCATCCTGGATTAGCAAATGCTCTAAATACCATCTGCCACCATTTTAAGGAGCATTAGGAGTTTTAAAAGCTTTTCTGAGATGATGACAGTAGCGAGTCAGCACGTTTCTGGTAATACGTGAGGGATGTAATTGCCTACAAAGCGCCATCTGAAGTAGGAGTGTGTTTAGCCATGAGCATTGGAGCTTTCTGCAGTACCACTGAAACTGAGTGGGAGATATGCCAATGGTTTGGGGGGTCATGGGATTAGGTCCTTATTGATTTTAAAGTAATTATTCATAGAATAAATGATGCTAGGTGACTTCCCAGGATTTTTAACATAGTTTAACACTTCCAGTACTTTTTAAGTTTTCAAATTTGGATATAGTGAACATCATAACATTTTAAAAAACAACATACTATTCCCCTTAATTAGTTTCTCTACTGTTACGTGTAAATAATGAGAAGGGATGCATTAAATACTATCTCATTCTAGACATCTGTAATGTGAATGTCTACGCCTGAACTGCTCCTCCTAGACTCCATTTTATAGTCACTGGAGAGAAACAACGGGCAGGATTCATCTAACCAGTTTTAGATGTCTACTTTAGGATGAGATGAATCCTGTCCTGAAAGTGTCTGTCTCTCCCCAATGACTATAAAGGGAACTTAGAGTGACTCGCTCAGGTGCAGGCATGTATATTTGGTTAGATGAATTCTCACCTGGGATCTAGTTCTTCCACAGCTAGACATTTGGAATTGAGAAAATAAGTTGGCTCAGTTTGCATATTTAGTAACAAAGAAAAGCTATGCAAGCTTACTCTAATTATGAATGTTGCACACATTGATATTATAACGATGATGTCATGTTCTAATTCAAAATTCTTCTTGGAACATAGAGTGTTTTTATAAGGAAATATTTTAAAATTGTTTTCTTTTTTAAAAAACAGATTTGGCCTGAAAGCCACAGGTAAAATTGCTTGGCAACAATTTTTAGAAAAATTCTGGGATCCTGGGAGCACCTTTGAAAACAGGCAGAAAATTCCTATGAGAAAAAAAGATAAGTAGGAAGTACCTTTTCTATGTGAGTAACCTCTGGTATACATATTTATTGAAAATGAGAAGCATATCCACTCAATGGTCACCCTTGATTAAATTCAGTTAAAAAATCTTTTGGCAATGCTTTCTCTAAGCACACTCTTATTTTGAATCCTATCAAACCCCGAGTCTTAATGAGGTGATTTATTCTTTCTGCTCTGAGAAGAACATAGTGAGTAAAAGAGGGTGAGACATGAAAGCATTGAAAAGACTGTCTTTTTTCTTCTTGCAGAGTAAATCCAGCTAGAGGAGATGAAGCTTTCTCCAGTGACACTGTTCTTCAGAAGCCATGCAGATGCATCCAAGATGTTTATCCCTTTTTAAAGCAGGCATTCCTTACGCTTGATGAAGTAAGAGCAATTATTTTTAGGTGTTGCCTCGGTTAATTACTCTTACAGCTAAACATTTGCGTCTCATATCTGCTTCAAAGTAATCTGGTGGTTGCCAGTCTTTGTTTTCTGTTACAGCAGCACGCAGAGTCTGTTTTTCAAGTTTCTTTAACATGGATATGTGCAACTGGGGACTAAATAATCTGTAACAACCTCTCTGATAAACAAAAATTATTGACCTCCTACAATTTCACTGGAAGTCATGTTGGCCAGTTCTTTAATCATCCCTGTGGCTGCCTTTGAACTCCTGCTAGTTTTTCTGTATATTTCATGAAATGTTATGATAGAAATGAGAATTGGTGCTTTCATAGAAGTTGCACTGGTACCAGAAAAATAAATAATATAACTTCTCAGATCCTGCTAAGTGTTCCCCTGTTTCTACATCCAAGGACTGCCTGAGTCCCTTGTGCCTAACATCGTACTGGCAATTTATTTATGCTTTGATTATATATTATGACCTGCAAATCTTTAAGAGTAACTGCTCCTTATAATTGAGATTCCTCTTCTATTCTGGCATATGTTCTCCATTTCTTATATACTTTTATAATAAAAGCTTATTCTTTGCTTGTGCTTATTCTTCCCAGTCATGCTGTGTCAGTGGTTTGTTCTCTTCATTGTTTTACCTTTCCATTTGTCTTTTATTTATCTATGGTCATCTGATGTTTTAAAGTTTTGGGTGGTTTTTTTTCCAGGTCATTTGTCCACGTGTGTATGTATATATGTATATAAATATATATACAGAAAGCAAGCAAGCTGTGTTTACGCTGTTTATATACAGACACACACAGAGACACATGTATATCTACGTGTGTGCATCAAAAGGACGTATAGCACAGGGCTAAAAATCAGGCCCTGCAAGACCTCATTAGAAACAGACCTACCTGAGAATGGGTTATTATCTACAATTCTATGTGAAGGCTTCTGTTATCTGGTTCTGTTACTTATCACACTTGTTTGATGCCTGCCATTTGCATCCGTAGTGTTCTCATTTCTTAGTCAAAATGGCATGCCACTGGGTATAAGTAAAGTATACGGTTGCCTTGGGCAGCAGACTGCCCCAGGACAGCAGCACAGGCAGGGTCCCAACGCCTGTTTTGCCTCTACCAGAGTCCTGGACAGCCCTGTTCGCTGCTACTTCCAAGAGAGGGATCCAGATGTGTTAATTTGCAGCTGTTGACATCCCTATGTTGACTGGTACCATTGGTTACCTCAGTGTTGGGCATTATATCCTGATTATGCAGGTTTCACGGCCAAACCTGGCTCTGCGTTCCCTCTCCACGCTCTTCCTCCTGCTCAGGACTGTCTCTGGGCCGAAGTGGTTTGCCTCCTTTCGTCGCCTACCGCAGTCTATCGTCAAGTGTGGTAGCTCCCAGAAAAGCCGATTTCCTTATTGGTAAAATGAAACGCGATACCTACTGGCTTTGACACTTAATGAAGAAGGTATGCTATGAAAATGTTCAGTCTTGTGATCAACACAAGAAAAGTCATCTCGGATGTCATATTTCCTTTCCACACTAAGATCTGCATAGTAAGATTTAGCAAATACTATTCTCCTGGTCAGCTGCTCTATGTAATGTTCAGTAGAACAGTGATCTCACCAGTGAACTCATTATTAATGTCTAAATATGTGTGAATTTGTAACAATCCTAAATATTTACATAACTGTGTGAGTGGGTTTTCAGCTATTATGAAAAGCCCATGTAAACCAAGTAAAGACATTTCCTCCTGTCTTAGAGTTAACAAAAGTAAGTTCCTTGCTCTCCTTTTTTTCAGGAGGTAGAAATAGATTTGAACTTGAATGTCTCCTGTTCCAGGACTTAAATACAGTCATGTTCTTATCTAAAAGTTTTTAATAGGTTCATGCAGCATGCTTCTGATTCTTCATCAATCACTGTCCAGCCCTCAAGCAACTGCCTGCTCCCTTTTCTTCCAACTGATTTTTTTTCTGAATTGTTCTTGATGTGTTGGAGTCTGAAATGCTGCTGGTCCCTACCTGTTAATCCATATTCTGAAAACAAAATCCCAACCTAGTAGCAGTGCTTTCTAATGTGCAAGCTAGAAATATAATGTTCCCTGTAACTATACTACAAATTTGACTTTAAAATGTTGAATCAGATTGATGTTTTATAAAAGGATGAGCGAAGCACCCTTTGATGTTCTTTTGTTAAGTCTTGCAATATTTTGTCATTTACTTTAAAACTCAGATCCTGGAAAAAAATAGTTATGCAAGTGTTTCAATACCAAAGAATTAATAACAAACAACCTCTCTAGCCTCCTAGAATGTTTTTAGAAAGTTTCTGCATATATTCTGAAACACAGAAACAAAAAGGCATTAAAAATCATTTGTGTGGGCAATATTCAGTATAAATTAGTTGAGCATTTTTTAAAATTAAATTATTATCATTACTATATATCCTTATTTTTATATATTCCATTATGTGGAGTGCATTGTTTGATAGACCTTGATCACATGTGGTGCCTCAGTCACTTAAAGCACTGGCATTTCCGTCATTTGAAGATGTGACATCGTAGTTTTTTCAGAGTCATATTGTTGCATCTCCTGCAAATTTAGAAATTTAGAATTGCAATATCAGGTTGTAATTTTTCACCTGCATTGTTTAATTGTTTTTATTCTAGTCTCTTTTAAAAAGAGATTATTCATCTCAAGGCAAGGATTTCAAGTAGTATTGGAAAGTCTCCTAACTCAAGTTCTTAATTAAATGCATCAGATTCATAAGAGAAACTAAAATGGTTTTTGTCCTGTGCTGAAACCTGGCTTCAGGTAACCTTCAGAGTGTTCCCAGCATTGCAAAAAGGTTTAAAGGAACATAGTTAATGGCTTTAATACTATATCTTAATACTACAGAACATGAATACCTATTTAACATTATATGCTGTAGGAGACCAATTGGTTGTGATTGACATTTAAATTAAAGATAGGCGTTAATATGTACAGGATAAGGCTACACCTTAATCTGAGATACAGCATTTTGGAAAAGAAGAGAGATGTCGTAAGTGTGTACATCCAAATACACTGCTTAGCAATGAATATACATCCCCATGGTCCCTGTGCACACAGGAGAAATTACAGACAAAGCAAATCTTTTTTGATGAAAGGATAAAATCAGTATGATAGGTAAAGTTAATGAGAACCAGAACTGTGCAGCAATTATTATAAGCTCATATTATGTAATATAAACAGAGAGTGCTATCATGTGTTTGTAAAAGGTTTATATTTGCAGTTTGTCATCTGTCAGGTAGACTGTAACTTAGGTGTGACACTGACAATGTTGAGCCTACTGTTGCATAGTTCACTCCAGTTTCAAAAGTAACTTCATCTGACTTTTTCTAGACTTCAGATTACCTTTTCGTGTTTAGTTCTGGAATATGAGCTTCTGATAAAGAACTGTCTATCCTTACCAGCTCTGTGGCCCTCACAATGTACAGAACTATGCTAAAATGCCTCTCTGTCAGTTTTGATGGAATGTCATTATATGTATGTCCTGTGGACCGGCGTGTGTGATCAACCCTTTAGTGGACAAGCTGGATTTTTTTTTTTATTACTTTGATTTGCTACATATTGCACTTCTTAAATTGTAGACTCTGTTTCTGAATTGAATGAGCAAATAATAGACTGAAAAAATTAAAGCTCTCAGTCTGGTTGACACAAGCAAAAGGAGCACTGGGCATATCTTCAGAAGTCGTATCGGCATTTTTCATTAGATGGTTTTATATAGATGATATATTACAATTCCTTTCTAATATAATTACATAAAACCTGTTCTTTTTAGCTCTGCGGTATTTCATCTATATACAAACATATATATATATGTATATGACCACAAAAAGAAAGAATTCATCTAGCAATTTATAGGAAAAGAAATCGGTTTTATACACTGCAGTAGATAATAGTAACAATGCCTAGAGCATTCAGGCCATGATTCAGTAAGGCACTTTACTACATGATTTTAATTCATTTACTGAACTGGAGCATTACTGAATGAAATTGTTAACAAAGGCAGAGGTATTTGAGGTGGCAGAAAGGCTGAAGAAAGAACCATTTAATCCTCAGCATCTAGAGGCTCTCTCCGTGAAAGAAATACATGTAAGAATGGTTTATATTTATACATAACATCATGATTTTTCTGTTGGAATAGACCAGTACATCCCCAGTCACATCACTGATGCTGGACTGACTTAGATAATGATCTGGGCAATAAGTTAGTTCCTTTTAAATAAATAAAATTCAAGTTGCAAGGTGACCAAATAAGCAAATGCAATCTGCTTAATAAATCCTGTTGTAGTATATCTTAACTTTCCTGTATTATCTAAGGTTTGAACAAAATGTAATTTATTTTCATCGTAACAGATTTTTCATCTTCATGGGTAAGACCTAGTCATTCTGCACAATTGTTTCTTGTGAAGTACAAGCTATCTTTGTAGCTTCAGTATCAGATTCCCTAACTTATTTACTGGGGGAGGTAGGTATATTATCAGGTTTTGCTTCCATATGATTTAATGCAGTGACAACAGTCTCTAAAGAAAATTCAAATACCAGATAGTAGTTTCACAAGACCATTATCTTTTGATTGCAAAACTTTAAAGTATTTCCCAGACCAACTGATGAAGTAAATAATTGCTCATCCTCTATATTATTACTGCCACCCTGGATCTCTGTGGGGGACTAAAGGGAAACAGAATTTTCTTAGGGTGAATTTTATGAACAAAAAGATATTTGTCTAGTGCTTAGCCAGGAAAACTGAATCACTGAAGGAACTATTTACTCCTAATTTTTCTGCTATTGTTCCAAAGCCTTTATTCCACTCTTTCTTCTTCTTTCCTCCCATTATCTTTCTACAGGTTTCCTTAGAGAAAACAAAGAAACAATTAAAAAAATAGTAGAAGTTCAGGAACAAATTTAAAATTATAAAATGCAATAGACAGTCATAGAAAAGAGTTGGTATAAACCCATATTTAAAACTATCCTACATAAATTATGGATATTACTTGTCATGGGAACTGAGATACAAACTATGCCTATTACCTTACAGTCCAAATGAGTATCCATTGGCATGACAATGTGACAGGACATCAGGCCCCAGATAAAGATTCTCCCTGAGAGCAAATTCACCCTCATTAGCCAGGTCAAGAATGCCAATAGACCCAGCCTAGCTGTATAGCTGATTTAAAGGATGCACACTAAGATGCAAAGGAAGCATGAGAAAAGAAAGAGGAAGTCGAAGGACAGTAGGTCTCAAACATTTTGGGTTAACGCACCGCTGCCAACAGTCAGAATTTCTCAAGGCTCACCATGTACTTCTAATTGCATCTTTAACTGAAATCACCATAATGACCCAAGTGTTTGCACAGCATTTACTTTGGCCTTATGGACCATCATGGCCATGGACCATATCTGAAAACTGCAGCCCGAGAAAAAGCTGTGCTCAAACATAAAATGTTTAGTTGAGTTTTTGCTTGTTGTTCTGAAGCTAATCATGAAGAAAATCCTGCCACAGATGAGTGAGCACTGATAACTGTAGGCTCATGTGCTGTTTATGAATATGCTGAGAGATCTATTAGGATCTAACAGACATCACTTGATGGACTTTTGCATGGACTTACAGCAATGGTTGGGGTATGTCATGGTTTAACCCCAGCCAGCAACTAAGCACTGCGCAGCCGCTCACTCACTCCCCCCCACCCAGTGGGATGTGGGAGAAAATTGGGAAAAAGAAGTAAAACTCGTGGGTCAAGATAAGAATGGTTTAATAGAACAGAAAAGAAGAAACTGATAATGATAACACTAATAAAATGACAACAGCAATAATAAAAGGATGAGGCTGTACAAATGATGCGCAGGGCAATTGCTCACCCCCCGCCGACTGACCCCCAGCCAGTCCCCGAGCGGTGATTCCCCCGCTCCCACTCCCCCCAGTTTATACACTAGATGTTACGTCCCATGGTATGGAATAGTTTGGGTCAGGTGCCCTGGCTGTGTCCTGTGCCAACTTCTTGTGCCCCTCCAGCTTTCTCGCTGGCTGGGCATGAGAAGCTGAAAAATCCTTGACTTTAGACTAAACACTACTGAGCAACAACTGAGAACATCAGTGTTATCAACATTCTTCGCACACTGAACTCAAAACATAGCACTGTACCAGCTACTAGGAAGACAGTTAACTCTAACCCAGCTGAAACCAGGACAGGGTACATGATAACAGCAAATTAGATGCAACTTGACTCAACTGAGTAAAGTTCACACAGATCCAGCAACTATTCAGTCAGACACAACTTTGTGCAAACATTGATTCCAGACAATGTAAGAAATGAAATGCAGCTGATAAACTGACCTGAATGTGAGCTGGTCTGTGCAAAGCAAGTTTAAATATCCATTCACTTGTGGCACAGTTTACCAGCAAACTAAATAATCTATCCCAAGGTAATGGAAAGGTCACTGTAGTTTCATTCCCATAGTTCTAGTCATCCATCAGTAAATATTGCAGTTGCATGTTCACTGGGAACTGGAGTAAAAGTACTAAATTCAGTATACACAAACTACAGCTCTCAGAGCTACAGAGCTCTCAGTTTTTGTAGGTCAGGATGATCTAGCAGTGTAGAATGGCATGTTGGAATCAGCATTGCTTTAGTAAATGTTCATTCTTTTTTTATGCATGCTTTCTTTTTTTGTCTTAGAAATGAGATGGAAAGATCCCAAGAAATGACCTTTGTCGTGTTTTACGTAACTTGATATTTCAAATGAAAGGTAAAGACTTCCAGGAGTTAATTGAGATAATTGATCCAGAACAGACTGGATACCCTGACTACCATGAATTTTTAGACTTGTCTGAAGAAAAACAATCAGTAGTAAGTGTTTACTTTTAATTCTCTAATTATAACTTCTTTTATAATGGCTGTGGCAAAATGCTGGATTGTGTGTGTGGATGTGGTAAAATGTTGTGCTCCGCATACAGTTTTTGTCTAAGTTAGTAGGTTCACATTCATTCCAGCAATGGAATAATAATAATCAGCACTTCTAGACTCTTCTTCTGAAGCATCAATTGGAAAGCAATCTCATGGTTACTGCAGGTTTTTGAAAACTCCAGCAAAATCACTAGCTCACGCATGTGTGTACAGCAGAGGAGGAACAGTAGCAGCACTTCTTAGCTTTCAGTTGTCAGATCTGTTTTGCTGATATTTCGCTGTTTCTTGTTTTATCTATTATTCTTTATAATATACATTGGTTCAAACTATATGCTATATACTACACAGACGTTGCATATTTTCCTGTGTACAGCTTTGACATCTTCTGAATTTGCAGTCATCTTACAATGTTTTCCTTTAGAACCATTCACCGAAGGTTGAGAGGTTATGTGCTGAAATCCACAGTCAACATTTCCATGCCATATGTCTGTTTCCTTTGACAGAAATAAGTCAATACTTTTTTGCTTACTGAAGTATTCTAAGAAATAACCTAAGCTGTATTTGCAAATCTACTTCCTAATACTAAGAAGCTGTTCATAATTTTCAGTATCAACTCCTAGGTTTGCATTAGTGTATCAACTGACTAGCTCCATATTTAGCAATTTTTTAGGTAGTCTGTCTAGAGTTTTTGAGACAAATCAAAGGACTGCAGTAGTGTCAAGAGAGATACTAGATGCACATAAAGAAGGTCCCATTGAACAGCCCTCAATGGTGTGCATTGCTTTGAAATGCTTGATGTTAGGGGCTGGAACAGGCTGCTTTCCACTCTGATGGCTCCAACAATAGCAACATTTGATGCAGCAGCTCAAGTGTCTTCCAGCTGGTTTTGAGTAGAATAATGGTCTGGCTGAAATTCTGGGGCAAAATTTAGTAGCTGTAAAATTAGCATGCTGGGGAAAATGCAAATGCCAACGGTGCCTACATGCACAACTGATGTGCACACTAAATGGGATTTACAAATTAAGCTGGTTAGACTCAAATTAGAGATGCACACAGATAACTAGACATTTTTGTTATTTAAAATAAGCATCCCATATGAAGTAAATGCTAGCATGAGGGAAGGCAGGTAAAGGAAATGTTAAACATCACAGATCATTGTCACCTTGGGATGAAATACCACCAGGGATGACAGTGGCCACACATGACCCTGGTGGCTGTGGTTTCACACTTTGAGAGTGATTCTGCCCTGAGGAGTAGGTCTGTTCTGGACTCTGTGGCTGGGTTTGTACCCAGATCTTGATAAAAAGCAGCTGCAAGGAAGCCTGAGTGTCTGGAAATCCTTTTGTTTTGTGTCCTGAGTGGTAATGCCACGTCCATCAGTGTGGCTTATCCTGTAGAAAAGACAGATTACAGGTTGTACAAATGAAAGAGGACAACTTTTTCAAGAAGTTTCTTCATTTTTATCATTTCTCAGAAAGGGTTTGGTCAGAGGTATCTTAAAAGCAGCAATGGGCAGAACCAGGACCTGGAACCAATCTAGGACCCCAGCCAGCTAAGATAACCCAAGGGGCATCTCCACCTCCTTCTTTTTACCTGAAATTTTGCATAGTACAATGCTTGCTCAGATCTGCAATTATGCTGAGGTATTCTGTCAAAATGTGATCCTGTGTTTGTTTCTTCTCAGAACCTTCTGGTTATAATGTACTCAATTTACAAGTGAAAAACACTTTAACTGCCAGTGCTACAGGCAGATCCTAAAGCAGGTTCAGGAAGCCAGATTTTGTCATTATTTTCCCCTGTGCAAGCCCATTGTCTTCAAATTATGCCCCGAGTAAGCTGAGTGCCACTTGCAATTCATTCAGTCCTAGTGGATTTTGTTTTACAGGACTGAGGGGAGAAACAACAGTAAAAGCTCTGCGTTGTTATCAGTCAGTAGACGTTCCTCTTCAGTCACTTAAAGAAGGAGATCTATGAAGTGAGGTATACGCTTTCTTGCAGTCACTTTTCAGTCAGTTTTCAGAACAAGCATTTTCAAGGGTAAATTTTGGGCATGATGTTGCATCATGCTGTGAAATTAGTACACTAATATTGTTTTAGTTGAACAGAACTTTGTTTTAAATTAGATGGTTCATGAATAGCTTAGTGGAACAAACAAAATAAAGAAGCCTGCTCTTGTTCTAGCTTGTAATACTGTAAGTGATAACACAGCTCATTTTGAGTTAAGTGTTGGTCTTCCAACATTAGATTTTTTATTTTAGTACATTTTTTTCATGTGGTAATGCTATCATAGCTTAACCTCAGGGACGTTTTTTTTTCTTTCCTGCATTATTAATTCATTTGATTGTTAGGTGGAGGAGATCCATTCAGGTAAAATCACAGAAAATTGGAAAGATTTTTGTAAGGCTTTGCAGTCCTATCATCCTAAGTGTACTGGCATTATTAACAGAAGTCATCTAAGAAAGTCCTACAGCTGTGTTGTCCCTCTTTGTCAGATCAACAATTTATGAAGTAAGTTGATGATGTGTGAGTTGTAACAGATTTAATGTAATTTCTTTTCTTACCGTATATTTTTTCCTGTTTTTTAATTTGAAAGCTATAGCTGGAGGCATTAAGTATTTTGGTTTGCCTTAAGCATAGAGAAGAGAAAAGGTTGGTGGAAGAGATGTCCCATTCCTCATGCGATCAGCTTGTAAATCCCTCATTTATTTTCATAACAATTCCATGTTGGAAACTCTCAGGAGTTTGACGTTATTTCAGCATTTCAAAGATGAGACAAGCCTTTTCTACAAAGGAACAACTGATGTGCTGGAGATCCAAGACATTATCAAACATTATTTAGTATTTTCAAATACAATGTAATACAAAATTAATTAAATTAATGTTATGTCTTTCCTCAGTAGACTATTGTTGTAAAGAAGAAGGAATTGAAATTTAATATTGTCAGCAAGAAATCTAATTTTCAATGTGAGCAGGCTCCCCAAAGCGAGGAGTCAAAAGAGCTAGAAGCGTGGGGAGCATGGAGTCAAAATATCTATGTCCAAAGAAGAGGGAATTGTATTAGGCATTTTACTGCAATAACATTTCAGTCAGGTTATAACTGGGTCTAATCTACTCTCTCAGGAGCTCTGTTTTTCTCTGCTTACAGCTAGTGACTTTCAGAAAGGTGTGGAATTCTTTCCTACCTTTGAAAACATAATAGGAAAATCAAAGAAATGAGTTCCAGTCTGACCCTTACAACCCAGTGTCCGGCTGATCATTGTGTGTTAGGAGCAAACACAACAGCATCAATAGGAAATGGCTTTTGGAAAATAATCTTTGATCTTGAAATATGAATGAGCATGAGCATGATCAGTAAAACCAATTCTACTGTATGCATTTTCCTTTCTATAAATGTCTTGGAGAAAACTTCAGGTGCTGTGCGTTGGGTTCATAAAAGTCATGTTCCCAGCACTGTGTTATAACTACATGCTTTCATCATCTGTCAGTTTTATAGCTCTGTGTTTTGTAGTATATAATCAGTGGTCATTGATCATGAACAAGTAATTATCCTTTGAATTACCTGGGACTCAGCAGTTATACAATTTTCTAAATAATGTTTCTACCATTATTTGTGTCAATGAGAGATCTGTACTATAAGAAAAGTCAGGAATTACAGCCACTTTGAATTGGAAAGTGGTCTTTACTTGAAATTCTAAACATTCCCTATAAGAAAATAATACAGAGTAAAGCAATGAGAGGCAAATAGTTAAGGTTTAATTCATTCATCATTGTGGTCAACGGCTGTTTTGCTTTTGTTTTAAAAGGATGCAAGATAAGCCTGGTGAGATCAGTCTATCAAAATGCTGAACACAGGTTGTGCTCTAGCAAAGCACAGGAAGAAGTGGGTATGATACTTCTAGGATTTCTGTTACGGTGAACATTGAGCACATTTGTGTATTTGCTTTATTGAACTGTGGCACTGTTGAAACATGCAGATACCGGTGTTTAGCAAAGGGAGATAGATGGGATGAGTTTGGAATATTTTTATAGAAATAGCATTATACATCTAAAAGATAAGGTTTGGATTCCATTGTCAAAGACATTCAGGGACATAGAGTCTTGCATTGGCCATGTCCACTCCATGAAAACAGGGTCTTAGTCACACCATATTATTAATTCTTCTGTAGTAAACATTTCTAAAGGTACTGTTCTTAGGGTCATGTTCTAGAGAGCTGATGCCCATACTGGAGAAGAAATGTAATTCTTATAATAAGATGAAGAGAGAATTTATACTTAAGAATGCAACAGATGGCCTACTTGATTGGAGAAGTATTTGGTTTTATGATAAAGGAGTAATAATATAGCTGATTAAGTTAGAATGGCTCGTCCACAGGTGAGCAGATATTTGGAAAAATCTCCTTTGTTGTAATCTACTTTTAGAGTTGCCATTCTATGATTTAGCCTGACTCCTTAAAAATATGTTTTGACTCACATCTTTTTACCAATCTGTATTTCTTTGTTTCAAATGTGGCATAAATTTTTATGTTAAATCTTATTTAAGACAATCCTAGGAAAATGTTGTGGATTATGCAGAGAAACAGTGGATGGCACTGTTCATTCGCTGCTCTAAAGTCATACTAAATGCCAGGTTTTAAAAGCTGTATTTTAAAATAATAAGCAAAAAAAAAAAAAAAAAAAAGTAATTGACTCCTCTAAATGCATACACACTGGGCTTAAGACTATCACATCTGTGCTGGGAATGTCATAACCAGATTGGGGATTTAGCACGGGTGCTTTAAGGGATGCAGGGTTTTTGAGTAAAAGGTGATGAAGTGACTGAATTACATTCTGAATTCCAGTGGTTCAGCTACATCAGTCTTATTTATTTGAAATGATACTTCTGCTTTGGGGGGCTTCTACTATAATTGGACTTTTGCATTGATGTGACTCATCCTGAGGCACTTGAGGACAATACTGCTATCGCTGCAGCAGAATAGCTGGCATGCTTGTCCCAGATGGCTTCCTGTGAGATGACATTCAGACTGGGGAAAAGAAGGAACAATTTTTAAGGGCATTTGGAAGCCTTTTATGGATTACACTCACAAAGCAGATGTTGCTCTGTAGTGTTCACAGCCATTTTCTGTGTGAAGGCTACACTTGTTTTAGCTGAGCAGAGCTTCACAAATACTAGAAAATGGAGACTATTTCTCCTCCCTCTCACCCCCCTGACACTTTCTCCTCTGCAATGTATATGGTGTGGATTGGATTTCTCAAAAGAATTGAAAGCTTTGATTTCTTTTTCTTTCAATCTTCCTTTCTTTCTTTCTTTTTTTTTTTTTTTGTTTCTCAGAAGGAAGGCATTGAAGCACTTGATATCTTAAGTTACAAGTGTTTTTTGCCACAGGTATTTTTTTAGTGTCATTCTAAATAGAACGGTTACTTGGGATAAGTGGAGTGCAGAGAATGCCGTGCGTCCCCAGCACAAGGACAGGAGCCTTCTGCTTTCACCCAGGAATGCCCCAAAGCTTTATGAACATGAATGAAGTCCTGGAAGGCTGAGCAGCTCAGTGAAGCAGCCACACAGTAATGACAAGGGCTCTGATTCATGAGCTCTTCTAATTTATACGGCAGTGATTTAAGAGGGTAATTTAACAGGCCCAGGGAACTACCAGCTTGACCTCTTTGCTGGAAGTTACCCTCAGAATAACAGAAGGGGCTGAACAAACAGTGTGTCTGCTCCTGGGCTGCTAAGGTTCACATCCAGGAGTATTAACTTAGGCTGCTAGTGATTTCATGTTATATTCATATGCCAGGCAGCAAGTTAAGGTAAACAAGGGCTTTCATTCATGATTTCTGACAGATTTAGTTGTGCCGTGGCTGCGATCTTAGCTCCCTCTTCCACTAAAGCAGCTGAATTTGACAGGTCAGTGTTGAGTGGGCCAAGTTGCTTCCAAGTGTCCACCATATAATTCAAGCACTAATTACGCAGGGTATTCATAAAGGGTGACTGTAGGTAGGGGAGGCTTGTGTCCTCAGGCTCCTTCTAGAGTCAATGGAGCTCTTCCAGGTAATGATACAGTGTTTAAGTTAGGTTCCTGCTTTCTCTGTAGGCTACAGAAGGAGCCTGAGAAGGCTAGTTTCCAGTGCCTAAGGATAGCCTTCTGAATAATGCCCTTAGCTGTATATGGAAAGGAAATGTGTTACTTTGATCGTCTTTGCCTTAAGACGTTTGTATTATGCATTGTTCTCAACCTCCCAAATTATTTTAAGATCTTATTTTATCCAGGTTATGCTATAAATACAAGGATAACTCTTCTGATGGAATCTTTTACAAGATGCTTTTGGATAACTTAAAAGTTGCTGTTCTTTCTGGTGACTTAAATGGCATCAGCTCACTTATATCAAAGGAAAAAACAACAAAGAGAAGAAAAAAGGCAAACAGGGATTTCAAAAAGGTACTGTTATTACAGACAATTTTCTATTTAATGTAAAGAAAATATATGTATAGAAAGGAGACTTTCAGATAAACTGAGGATCTGTGCTGTTTTTCTAATGGTAAGTACTGTCCTGGGCTGATCTGTCTTTTCGCAGAGATATATTCAAAATTGTGCAACGCTCAAAGCATTGCATCAGGAGAGCAAACACACATGTATCATTCATCAAAGGTCCTAGGATTCAGGTAAAAGTGGTTGACCTCACTCTACAGGGTCCACAAAGATTATAGCTCACTGCATCACTCAAAAATTGGGGGTTTGCCCTCTAGATAACATCTGAAGAGTAAGCCTATGATCCTCTGTAGAATCAGTGCGGCTCATTATTCAGGAACTGGATTTGAACATTCTCAGCAGATCAGGAACTCTGGCACTTCTGATGGCTGTGACTACTGCAGGCCACAGCTACAGCCTCCGACTGAACCAGCATCATTGATATTGGCATCCAGGTTAGAAAGATGTATGACCTACTGATTGTCCTCACTTTTTACTGTCAAATACATGTAAATGCCTGTATAATCTGGGGTGGAAACAACAAGCTTTCCCTTGTAATGGGATGAGCTCTTCTTAAAAATACTTTTTTTTCTTATATTTGCATGATAATCTACATGTACGGTCAGACCCGGGACACATGTATTTCATTTCACTTGAATCCAGATAATGGTTTACTCTAATATGTCCATGGAGGCGTGCTCACTGCCTATCTTCCCTCATTTTTAGGCTGGTATTCCATAAAACGGAATGCCCTATGCAAAGCTCACGTTTCTGTCAACAGCTCTCAATACAGGAGTATGCCCTGTCTTGCGCCAGATTCTCCTCAGACTTCTTTGTTTCCTCTTCAACAATCTGACTTTTTTTGTGTTTCTGAAGTCCCCATTTGAATCCCCTTCAGAGCAGCTCTAGGGATTGCCTTGTCTGTGTACTCACACATCGGAACTGGCGGCTTATTCCTATGGCTCAAAAAGCCCATTTCTGTTGTCTCTGTTCTGTTGTCTCGGAGCCTTGCCTCAGGATCTCCACACACTTTTCAAAGGAGGC